ATATTTTTCCATTAGTTAATATAGATGCTGTGTGACCATATCGTGCAGTAATCATATTACCGGCAGTTGTCCAAGCACCTGTTGATGGATCATATAATTCAACACTGTTAAGAATAATATTCTCACCGAATCCACCAGTAACTAATACTTTTCCATTTGATAACACTAATGCCGTGTGAGAAGAACGCGCATTATGTATGTTACTTGTACTTGTCCAAGTACCTGTCGATAGATCATACAACTCAGCCTTGTTTAAGCTACTACCATTATCGTATCCACCAGTAACTAATACCTTTCCATTTGATAATATAGATGCTGTGTGATAATATCGTGCATTAATCATTTTGCCAGTAGAAAACCATCCTAGAAGTTACATTCTTATATATTTAGACAATCGTATTGCCCAAAATCTCTTCACATATCTTTAGTTTTCTATATTGTCTATTTTTCTGTTGTTTCAATCAAATGTATAAGAGATGTTTGTCTCAAATTGATCATTGTGATAATTATACTGACTGAACTGTTTTTCGATTCTCTATAAATTTTATAAGCAATGTTCGAAAGATATTTAATAGAATGAAAATTAGGAACTTCTTATCAACTAGAGAACGTGGATGGGTGTAGTCAAAAGATTATTTATCATCACCCACCGTTAAAATAATTTGTAGAGAAAATTATTCGAAAAATTTACCAACGAGTACTCGTACAGATCTCAGTTTATTATGTATATAATTCATTTTCATATGAAATAGAACTCTTTATAAATTTAGAAGGATGGGATAGATATGAATAAGAATTCCTTCTAAAAGTAGTAGTCTATTTTATTGCAGTTGCCACAAATTTCAATCAAAAAAATCACAAATAAATTATTTGTTGATTACTTACTAGTAGCTGTACTAGATTGATTAGTTGTGTTGCCGAATTTAACTGAAAAGTAAAAGAGTTATGAGCTAGAATCAGTACCAACGGTACTGCATATTTTACCTGTTGTTGTAGTCTTTTGAGTTGTTGTTGTAACTGAATGAAAATAGTTTAGTTAGCCACAAAATAAACACATTTTAAAGAGAAAATATAATAAAATCACACTTACTCTTTGTTGTAGATTTAGTTGTGCTTGTTGTATGTACTATTAAAACATAGAAATATTTTATTCTAGATCAACTAATTCCTTTTTGTTGTAATCGTTTTTAAATTTGCAAGACAAAATACCTTACCTGTAGTTGTTGTTCGTAATGTTGTACCTGTTGAGAGAAGAAAAAAACAAATAAAATTGAAGTAGTTATTAGAAATCTTTTTTTACTTGTAACAGCCTTTGGTGAACATATTTGTTTACTTGCCATAGGTAATGGATAGCATATTGGTTGACCACATCGTGTACTATTCACACAGATTGTACTCTCGATTGAACAAGTTACATTATCCATATTACATCGTACAACACTTGCACAGGAAAAAATAGTTGAAGCACATATTCCTATATTCGAATTGGATGTTAATGAAAAACAATCGCAATCAAGATTCGATGAACATGCAATTCGTTCAGAATTACATGCAGTAAAATTACATGTTGCTGTCGTTGTTGAATTATCTAAGAAATAAATATATAAAAAAATAAAGAAAATAACGGTCATTATTATTAATTACTTAGCTGTTGTTGTTGTTGTTCTGATGTGTTTCTATCGTTAAAGAAGATAAAAAAAAGTATATAATATGTAGAAGTTGTTAAATAATACTTACACTAAAAGTAACACATAGAATAAAAACATAAAGCTTGAACTCAAAATTTTCGCCATTATGAGATGCAATAGTATGAAGTGTTAAGTAAAGAATATTCTTCTTGTATTACTTTTCGTTACGTTTCTTATATAAGCGTTGTGAAATAATCGAACGAGAGCTGATCAATTTTATAGTTACAAACTAAAATCATTCTTTTCTTCTTTGTTTTTTAAAATCATGAAATGTATTTTCTTTTAGTATGCACAATCATCGACCGAAATTGCAAGTGTGTTTTTGTGTAGAGAGAAAAATTATTATTTAAAAATCACAACTTTACGAAATCATATATTCAATAGATGAAAAAAGAAAAGAAAAGGAGAACGAACAAGTCACGCTGCTTCTTTTCTAATAAAACAAAAACACTGTTGGTAGTTACTTTTAATAAAAAGCTTTGCGTAAAAAAGAAAATTGTAAAGCTCGAAATTTCCTATTCATCTTTATTTATTTATTGATGTAGCATGAGCCGAGATGATAAAATCATTTAGGATGTCAGTGTGAATATGGGTGGGCAGAGGCCTGAATTCATTTTCTTTTAGCTTAATCATACCAAGACTCTCAGATCACACCCTCAAGATGGTTTAGAATCGTATTAATTTCTATATTCATCTTTTTATAATAATCAAATCAGAAGCTCATGAAAATCAAACTTATATTTAAAAATATATGGAATTGAAGGATAATATCTGAATAAAACTATTTTTTTCAAATAGCGCAAGCAACATGCTGTAATAATCGATTTTTCAAGCGATCAGTTGTATGTATTTTTGAATGATCAACAGAAAAGTAACGATTCACATGATTTATACGTTAAAACGACGACCATGTATAAAGATAAAGCATTTCGTCACGTATCTTGCTGCTAGCCTTTGTACATATTTTTTTTCATTATCTTTTACATTTTTTCTTTCGCCTGTTTTTGGTCTCTTTGGGTTTTTTTATGAAAAGCAGTTTGTAAAAGAACAATTCAAAGTATAGTATCTAAAAAAACTACGAAGTATTCCAATAGATGCATACGTTTAGTATTTACATCTCCACTATCATTATTCGGTCTTATATTATGATATGATATTATTATTTTATTTTATTCTAGATGATATGAAGTGATTTATTTATCGAATAGAAAGTAATTAGTTTAATCTAACTTTGTTTCCTTTGGATGGATCTAAATGGATATATTTAATGAACAATAAGTAAATAATTCTTCCTATTCATTGTTACTTATTTTTGAAGTGCTTTCCTTTGTTTTATTTAAATATTTTAGTAGTGGGGAACATTTAAAACTGAAGGGATCATTTGAGTGAAAACTCTTTGATGTTAAGATCTACTTATCTACAATTTAATGAAGCCAGAGCGACCATTGCTAAAGTATTATTTTCTTTTAAAACATATACAGTTGTAAAATATAAACTTTTTTTTTCTGTTATAGTATGAACAATATGTGGTCGAACGAATTGAGTACCGCTGTATGAAGCTGTTTGCATAGCGTCCCATTTCGGAACAGTGTGATGATCGGGAAGAAATCGTCATCGATTTGATAGAAAAAAAACCGGCGTACAGTAAGCATTAGTTATGTTTAACAATATTTTTGAATATTCATTCGTTGCCGTTATTTTCTAGATGTCGCGAAAAGTTTTTTGTCACAATATCAGTCATCAACAAGTCAACCAAATAAAAACAGTGAAGTGCGGATGTGATGTATGTGTGTTGTCCATGTGAGTGTGTCGTGTGTTGTTTATTCGATACCCAGTAGAATATAATAAAATTAAGTGCTGAGGCAGAAAAAGAAGCTTTTAATTGATAGTGAATATGTGGATTAGTGGGTGGATGTTGATGTATGGGTTTGGTTGGGGTATTGGTGAATGGATGTAGATATGGACGGATGTAGGTATGGGTGTGTTAGGGTGAGTGCGGATCTGGATAAGAGTATGGCCAAAACTTTAGATAACCCACCCACCCTCATGATCTGATCAAGCACATCCACACCCTCAAATATGGTACTCACATTTTCCTGTTCGAGACTTAGTTAACATTTGAAGTTGTTCGAGTACAAGTATGAACAAAATGTATAGTTTCAATATTTATTTAAAATCAAGAAAAAGACAAATAGTAATAAACAATACCTGATTGCAGAATGAAGTACAATAGAAAAACAAAACTTCAGTTATAATATTAAATGACAAACGAAATATTACAATAAGAACATACAAAACGGATGTAAATGTTTAGAAAACTATTAAAACAACAACTAATCTTAATAATAGATGTGGGTATGAGTTAAATTGTAGAGTATACCCACATCCACCCTCCAATTTTTTTTCTTTTAATAATTAATTCATCTTATTCTTTGGACAATATTTCTTTTGTTTTATAGTGAAAAATCATCTGTCAGTTTTTCATTGTGCACCTACGAAAGAAGTTAATTAAAGTTATGTTCTAGATGATATAAATTCGAAATCGTCTTTGAAATTGCTAAGAACTTTACCTTTTCAATACGATAAAGTATAATACACGAGTGTATCTTTCGAAATGTGACGTAAGTAGGGAATCTCAGTTTTTTTACTGCTTTATGGCTCTTACTGTTTGTTTCGACTAACTATGAAGATATTTTCGCTCTCCGTCGCGTTCTTGTATGTATTCATACACAATCTACTACTAACTGAACTTTAATTAAGTTTCATATTGAAATGCGCAATAAAATATTTTTGTTATTTGCACCGATATGAAAGTCTTCGTTTTAATTATATGTTTCAATAATCAACTCTAAAAAAAAGCAATTCAATTGAAACTATTGTTTTCTCGTTGAATATATGACTAAGGCTTCTGTTTGATTGTACTATTTTTATATAAGATAAAAATATGTTGTATATAATCAGCTGCTAGAAGGAATTCATTATACGAACAAATGATCGTCTGAAGAGATTACAGTAAACAACATACTAAAATAATTTTTCAACTTTTATATCTATATCCACAACCAATTTCTTTAAAGGTAAGAATTAAACCTGAAAATCAGTATAACTTCTAGAAAAAAATTGAATACAAAAATGAAACAGTTGATGTACTCACAAAGATTATAAATTATTTTGTGCAAGTATATCTAAAGGGATCTTGATTAAAACTCGCGTCGATCACTTAGATAATAAATCCTGATATGTTCTTGTAAATCTAAAACAGGGCGTGAATGATATTAGTTTATGAGTTCCATTTCTGGAATTGGATGGAATTTCTAGGAATTGATGCCGTAATTCTGGATTTGTGAGTGAATTTGAGTGCTTACGGAATTGTGGGGAACAAATTTTGGAGCGGAACTGGTTCCCAAACGTTCATTATCATAGAATAGAAAGTATTTTCTCCACAAACCCTAATACACCTTACATTCTAACATACTAAGACTGCTTGCTAAAAGTCTAGTTTTATAATAGGATAAGCAAGTACCTGTGTCAATGAAGAACATCAACTATTCATATGTACATATAAACAGTACAAGTCCACCATGCAATGATCAAAATCGTACGAAGTACTCAACAGTTCATGTGCAAAAAGTGCATCGACCACCAAGCAATAAAGGTAAAACAAATGTATTATTTAACAATTTAAATTAGAGAAAATATTTATTAGTTCATGCACAAGATATAAATTCATTATTGAACAATCAGAAAGATATCAGTGGGTTGTCAAATTCTCAAAAAAAACAGAAGTCAGTTATTTATGGGTGATCAGAACAAGACTCATAATCCATTTGTTCATATGCAACGAGTAAGTTGACTATTAGTTTATCGGAGAAAGGCATACACAGAGTTAGGCAGCTCTGATTTCTATCAGCTCCGGATCTTATTTGAAGCTTGTGTCTTGAACTCTGACTCCAAATTCAATTTAAAACTTTTTGTAAATCTTCTTTTTTTTCCTATTTTATTATATTTTCAATGATGCTGAGTGACAATAATAGGAAAAAGTAACAAAAATGAAGAGAAATCAACATGAAGTAATGAATAGCTTTTGAATTGTGGGTGTGGACCATAATAATATCTTCACCATCAGTCTATTATTTCAAAGTATTTCTGTTTTTTAGCCAGAAGACATGTTCTTCACATCAAAGCATGATTTGTTGGCATTAACTACAAGCAAAGATCAAATTTTATTTAACAAGAAGAATGTTGGTAAATCTTATATTAACTGTAATTCGTTTAGTGACTGCATTCACAAAGCAGAGAACGAAAATAATAAAAAGAAGAGAAAGTAAATAATTTGTTCAACACAATATTTTTTTCTAATTTTGATCTAAATCAAATATTATTAAAAAGAAATACAAAATTCGGAATCACACGGTGTTGTTGCTATGCTATCATTGCTGCTATAATTGGTGGGATTCTACTTGCAATAATTGCGGCAATTATTGCTACTGGTAGTAAGTATAATCAGGAACTATCGAGACTTATTTTTTGTAATTTATTTATTTAATGAGAATTTATTATCTGTATAAGTACTTCGATAGACTCATACCTACACATACATAATATAAAGGGTTCATTGTCATACTAAACATTTCTTGATATAGAGGCATGTAACTGTGAAGCCTAATTGATCTTAACTAGGTATATATGTGCTAAATTTTTTATTTCTGTACGCCCTAAATGTTCAGTATGATGATAAACCCTTCATATTATATATTGCAAGTATTGAGCTCCACAAAACAGCAAATACTAGAGTTCAAACTGAATTTCATTTCTGAAGATCTTTCAACAAGACTGTTTATAGTACAATTCATAGAATGCGACACTATTACATGGAACATTCATATAAAACGAAAAACTACAAATAATATTTGTAATAGAAGTTAAAATAATGATAATACATTCAAAGTAATTAATAATATTTCAATATCAGTTTATTATTAATGATTATGCCAATGATATTCTTCCATTTTTCTACAACTACTCCTAAATCACTAATAATTTTTTATTATTTATTAGTGCTACAACCAAAGATGACTATTACAAACACGACTACAACTACAAGTAAGAAAAGATAAAGAATAAAAAATTTATAATAAATATATTATTATGAAATATAAAGAAACAACAGCAACAACGAGTACCTCAAGTAATCATTTCATATATATTCATGTTTCATCATTCAGAATTCTCCTTATATTAAAGGTTCAACTACAAGTACATCCTCAACGACATCAACTTGTAAATTAATATATTTTTAAAAAATTTAGTTTTTTTTTCTAATTTTATTTTATTTAAGCAACAACTTCAACTAGTTCAAGTACAAGCACATCAACAAGCACCTCTACAGCTAGTACAAGTACATCAACAAGCAGTTCTTCAACTAGTTCAAGCACGAGTACATCAACAACAAGTAAATAAAAATATTCTCTTTATCTCATATTAAATAATCAAACATATACTGGAACGGAAATCTATAGATACTAGAGGGCGTGAGTACGGGCGTAAGTGTAAATGAGATGCGAGATTGATATATCAGCCACACCCACCCATTTATTAACAATTTTTATTTATTTTTATTTAGCAAAGACAACTACAACAGCATTTAATTCTTGTTAGTTGTTTTATATAAAAATGATAAGATATATATATAAATTTTAATATATTTATTAAGGTAACAATCTACGTTGGAATCAAACAGGTCAAGTCGTTGCTGGAACAATACAAGGTACAAGTGCTAATCAACTTAAAAATCCAAGTTGTTTGTACATCGACAATGATAATACTCTATATATTTGTGATCATGATAACAATCGTGTTCAGAAATGGATTCAAGGTGCTATAACAGGTGTGACAGTAGCTGGAAGTAGTACAGGAAGTTCAGGTTCAACATCCACATTGCTCAATTTTCCCACAGATCTTACATTTGATGATAATGGATTTATGTATGTCGTTGATTATAACAATAATCGTGTACAAAGATTTGCTCCAAACTCTACTAATGGCACAACTGTTGCTGGAGTGGCTGGTAGTCATTCAAATGCATTGACTAATCTAAAGCAACCAACAGCTATTGATATTGATAATAATTCAAATCTTTATATTCTTGATATGTGGAATACAAGATTAGTAGAATGGGCTCAAAATGCAACAACTGGTACTCTTCTGATCAGTGATAATAGTCTGAGTAATGATTATGATATTTTACTCGTACCGAATTCATCAAATGAAATCTATATTAGTGATCAAGGTGGTCATGGAATATATTTATGGACATTTGGTGCGTCAAGTCCAAGTATGACTCTTCAAACGGTGAATGATAGTCACAATACTCTTAATAATCAAATGGGTATGGTTTTGGATCCGTATGGTAATTTGTATGTTGCTGATACAGGCAATAATCGAGTAGTTATGTATTGTGTCAATTCAACAGTTGGTATTGTTGTTGCCGAAGATAATAATTCTGTACCTTCACTCAAAAAAACCAGTGGCTCTTGCGTTTGATTCTGATCTGAATTTGTACGTGGTTAGTACAGATAGCGACCAAGTGGTTAAACTTTCAAGAATTTAAGTCGATTGTAAATTACTTTTCCACTTTGTAACTATGTATATAAAACATTCAATCATATATCTGACGTTTTTTTGTATTGGTTTTATTTTCATAACTAAAATAAATAATTAAGCTCTTCATTAAAATATGAATTATATTTAACTGATAATCGGAATGAGTATCAAGTAATAAAGGATGATCAAAAAGTTCCGGTCCATCGTAATTAATAGAACTAGGTAGTTTCGTCGAGGAAGAGTAGAGTTGTCGTCTTAAGTAAATATTTTCATTGTACATTTTTGAAGAGAAGATGATTGACAATATTTGAAAACAAATTTAAGATGATCATAGTTTAATCAATTAGTCATAAATAAGTTTGCCATTTTCATCATTGTAAAAAAATATATTGTCTCAATTAAATTAATATAAATATTTATTGCACTTATTATTTCGACATGGTTCTAAACAATTTATACGAATAACATCTTGTTCAGATTAAAGATATTTTGTTTATTGTCTATATCTATAATAAATTATATTAACTCTTCCATATTTCGATAGTATCTCTTTGTAATTTTTCTTAAATGAGTTCATATTACTCCGTATACAATACAATTCAAGATATAATATGATTTTTATTTATAATAAAAAGTATATCAATATATTAAAAGTTCCAAAAAATGTTGTACAGTTCGACACCTTTGTAGTTCACTCTTCAAAATATCGAAAATAAAAAAATACTGTTAAAACATTGAACTTCAAAATATGTAACAAAGTTCTGTAGGAAAAACTATTTTTCATAAATCGATCTTGTTTATTTGAAAAACTAAATTGACAATCTTTTGCACTAACAGGTCTCAATCGATTTTGAATTGTTATTTGAAAACATTAGTCAGCAAAGATCTATTTAGAAAATTTACCTACGTTTAGATTTTAATTACAGAACTTTTAAGAGAATTTTTATTCTTACGTTTTTTATTAGAACATTTTGATTTATGGTCAAATTCTTTAAATAATTTAAAAAAGAAAGAGATGTAATACATCATTATGCTGGTAATGTTCCTATTTTCCTTGAGAAAATTATGTAACTGTAACAAACGGTCGTGTCGTACTGTGCATAAATAAGTACAACTATTAATATAAAAAAATGTTGATCATGCAAACACAAGATTGAAAAGATATAACAATAATATTTAACGCTAAGATTGTTTCACGTCTTCATACATTAATAAATGAACTTGTCTATCGTATACTTGACTATCTTGATCAATTTAAAACTTTTTTTTTTCATTTCATGATATCCTTATACAATAATTATAATTACGAGTTTTTATTTGATAAGAAAGTAAAAGCAATATCAATAATTTATGCAAATGAGTTTAGATTTTATCTTGAAAATTTTTATTTAAAATATACATGTATCTGTACCAACATATATAGTGATAATATATACCAAAATAAACTTTTTGAAGTAGAACTTGCACCATTCATTGTTGTAGTAGAACTGGTACCACTCACTGTCAACATGTCACTAGCACCATTCACTGTTAATTCAATAACACGATCAGTGACAACTGATTGAAGCCAACTATGATAGGCTGAAGTACGTGTGTATACACCAGCGTAACCTGGCAGGCCACATTCATATCCATAGCTAGTTACACCAGCTAATACCCACTGACGTTCTTTGGACTCGAAATACATTAAAGGGCCACCTGAATCACCTTGACATGTATCTAATACAATAATATATACATATATATATGTATGAAAAATTTCTTATTTTTATAACGAAATAGTTTATAAACAAAGGTTTTTAATCATTTTTTACCTTTTCCACCACCCGATACAGCAGCACAAAACTGAAGTTGTCGATTATTAATTGAAGACGCACACATTTGATGATCTGCCGGTAGAGCATTTACTGTCACTTGTTGAAGGTGTAGGTTAGATGGTATGGTCTGGTCTCCTGATCGTAACACACCCCATCCAATTGCCACCAGTGCTGAATTTGAGATGGGATAATTATAGGCCATGGATGTTGCATTAACTCGTGGGAAACATAATCGAGCAGTACCTTTTTCATTTGAAATAGTTAATGATTGATTAAGTTGTAGAACTGCAATATCATTCGCTTTCGTGATGGCACTATATTGTGGATGTGAGGAAACCTGTACTATGGAACGTTCTTGTGCTGTTGTTGATGGTATTTGTGAAAGTGCATCTATGCCAACAACTACTTTTGTAGAACGAATAATGAATGAGACGTTTTGAACGCAGTGAGCAGCAGTGATGATATATGATGGTGATATAATTGTACCACCACAAAAATGTCCATTATTAGAGCTACGTTGTAAAGATACAGCCCATCCCCAACTAGAATCGACTGCTGATTCACCACCAACAATTTTGTTTAGTTGAGCATTCGTTTTTGAACATCCACATTCAGTATTTCGATCGCACGAATAGGTAACAGATGAAATACAACTAATATTATTGAGAAAGAAAAAAATTGATAAAAGGTAGATGTATGCCATCGAATGAATTTCAACGCAAGTGAATGTTATAAAGCTTTATTCCTTTACTTCTCTCTTACCTGCAACTGCGTCATAGAAAATCACGTCTAATATGTTTATCACCGATCATTTTACATCACCGTCAATATTAAAGCGTTGTTTTGTTATTATTCAAAATATAATAATATATTTTTTTACGAATTTATTCTTTTTAACGAAGAAATTAACATCAACAACATTCTTTTCATTGTTAAGCATTGAAATCTTAAGTAAACCATCTTCTTATACGAACTTTCTTTCTTTTGATTTTCAATTTAATAATTCATTCAGACACGTTGTCAAAAAACAATCAATAAAAACAGTGCAAATATCATAGAATTACATTTAACACCAAATTTTTTAAATTGCACATGCAACTCTATACATGTTTAAAAAATATTATTAATAAGCACTGTAAGATTTAGTTATGTTTGAATAGCATTTATCACACGACGACAAATAATGAAATCAGATATTACTTGATAAAAGAAACTTGAGTAATACGCTTAATTAAAGTCTACATATTCCTTTTAATGTTTAACAAAAAACAAAAACATCAAAACAATATCAGAGTTTGTTCATTTTAGTCATAAAATTATTTAAGATTTTCCACTTGCATTTCCTTTCATTAAGCAACTAATGTTCGTGCTAAACTATAAGAAACACGATGATAATATTTTAA